TACATTGTATTGAGTTTTTCTCCTTCCCTCCGTGATTATGATATTTGTCTTTCTTCGCTTCATTAATTTCATCCTTTTTTAACCAGTATCTTTCTCTTGCATTTTCTTTCATTTTATCACTAAACTTTTCGTATTTTGCTTTGTCTCTTTCTTTGTATTTGTCAGGATTTTGTTTTCTGTCTTCCTTTTTCCATTCACTATACTTTTCTGCTTGCTCTAATCTGTCTTCATCTGTTGCTATTGGATTTATTTGATTTAAAGTCGCTTTTAGTTGTTCTTTATATTTTCTTTCTTTCATTGATGCTTCTAAACGGTTTTCACATTTCAAATTAGTTATTAAAACCATTTCAAAATTAATCCATCCTCCATTTTCACGAATAAATCGATATACATACTGATTGTAGTTTTTACCGTTGTCTTTCTCAATGTTATTTTTATGAGCACATTTTCGTTTAACAAAATTTGTAGTATGTCCAACATAACAGTCTTTGATACTTAAATGTTTACAAACAATTTTATAAAAATAAGTATTAGAATAGTCCATTACCTTTTTAGGCATTGTATAAGATTATATAGGATATATCTTTAAATATTATTTATCAGATATTCTTAAATAATGTGAAAACTTTTTCATGAACATTTTATCTGGGTTCTTTTCTAAAAGGTTAATATATAAGAAACTATGTGGTTCGTCAGTGGCGGTCTCATATATTTTATAAATTACTTTCTTGCTTTCGTGTAAATTATCGCTTCTAACAATTGCTGATAATTCATCTTGCAATATGTCTATCTCTTTGAAGTTTCTAACTTTATAATAAAACAAATGACTTATATTTACCCTAATAATTGGTGGAACAGTTGATGATTTTTGAAGACTGACAAGTGTTGATATTCCACTATGACGACCTCTACAAAATAAAGAATTTATCAATTTGTTATTTCTTGTTATTGCTGGATTATCAGATACATCATCCAATATAACTAATATATTAAATAACTTCTTCATTCCTTGCTTTTTCTGATATTCAATTATTTTATTTTGAGTTTCTATAACTCTTTCTAAATCTTCAACATTGAACTCATCCCACCAACACGGTTCTTTATCAGTATCTACTTTCAAGCCTTCTTTAATGTATTTTTTAACAGGCAACCAAATACTATCCAAATTTACTGATGGAGACCAGATAAAAACTCTTTCAAATGCTCCTCTATAAATATCAAGTATCATTGATACAAGTAAAGTTAACTTTTCAGAACCAGACGGACCTACAATCATAGCTCTCATCGGCAATTTAGGGACGACCTCGTGCTTACTTTGCTTAAAGTCATATTTGATTTCATCAATTGGTTTTACATCAGGCATATTAAAAGTAATATTAAAGACATTTAGAAAATAATTTAATATTATTTATTGTATGAAAGCATTGCTACGATATGAATGGGGTCTATCGTAGTGGAACAGGCTCTTTCATCAACTTCAATCATAAGCATTGAGACTAATTAGTTTGAATTAATTTGAACCTCGCTTGTGTTTTCCAGTGCAAAGAAAACTCCATTGTTGTGCCCTCCGAATATTCTACCAAGCATGAAATAATAAGTTCAAATAATTATTTTAATAATTATTTCATCTTATTATTTGATATGGATAGAAGTTATTCAGATTATATTGATATAATAGATGAAGTGGAGAATATAGAACAAGTTGTTATAACTGATAATAGATGTAAGAAAGTATGCTATTTTGTTTTAGAATTAATTAAGTTTGTGATACAATAAATTAAAAAAATATAAATATTAATATAGATGGGAAGAAAGAAAAAGAATACGACTGAACCAGTTGTTTCTTCAACTGATGAAGAAAAAGAAGAAATTGTTAAAGAAACATCAGTTATTGAGTTTGCTTGTCCAATGTGTAAAAAGATGTTAGAAATGAAGAATGATTCGTGTATTCCGACAAGTTTCAAAATAAGTAAACATGATAAGAAAATGAATATTGATAAAGCTAAAGACAGTATAAACTTAGAAACAGATGTTCATAATATTGCTATCAAATGGGGAAGGCATGCATCACCATCCGATAATGGTGATAAGGAAACTCAGGAAACTATACGTGAAATGATGAAAAATTAGTATTTAAAGAGTAGATTTAACATAATTGCAACATTTAGTTTTAAAAGTTTAGTTTTATAATTTAGTATATATTTACATGGATGAAGCATTAGAAAAGATTGTTAAAAACTGAATAAGGTTTTAGAACAGAATAAGAATATTTTAGAAATCTTACAAGAAATGGAAAAGAAGAAACCATTAACAAACAGTTATCAAGAATATAAAAATAAAAGAAATATGTATTTAAACAAACTTAATAACAAAGAAATTCAAGAACCGAAGTCTTCCACTATGACATTTTATCAAATTGACTATGATGAGGAAACGCAACTTTATTCATAAAGTTGCATTTACTCATTGAAAACTAAACATAGTTTAGTTTTCAGCGAGGAAACAGGGATTTTTATTCATAGATAATATTATCTAAATATCTTTAATAATGAACTTATTAGAGATGTTTAGCGGGACAGGCAGTGTTGGACTTGTTGCAAAAGCAATGGGTTTCAATGTTATTTCATTGGATTTGAAAAATGCTGATATAAATACTGATATATTGAAATGGGATTATAAACAATTTGATAGGAACCACTTCTCATGTATTTGGGCTTCTCCACCTTGTACTGAATACAGCAAAGCAAAAACAACAGGGGTCAGGAAAATTGAACATGCAAATGCTATTGTTTTGAGAACCCTTGAAATCATTGACTATTTCAAACCCGAATACTGGTTTCTTGAGAATCCTCAAACTGGCCTTTTGAAGGAACAGGAGTTCATGAAAGGACTACCTTTTTTTGATGTGGATTATTGCAAATATGGAATGCCCTATAGGAAAAGAACCCGCATTTGGACAAACATCAAAACATGGAAACCCCGACCATTGTGTAAAAGGGATTGTGGGAGTGTTAGGAATGGGAAACATATTGAAACAGCTCAAAGACTACCCAGTGGAACCAAGGAACAGTGGGGTGATAATTATGTAAAGCATACACAGGATGATTTGTATAGGGTGCCAAGTGATTTAATACTTGAAACTTTGATGAGTTTGCCGGATGAAATAAATTGAGTTGTGGGACAGGAAAAACCCGCTGGGGGACAGGAAAAAACCTACTGGGGGACAGGAAAAAACCCCCTGGGGGACAGAATAAAACCCATCGGGGGACAGAATAAAACCCATCGGGGGACAGGAAAAAACCTACTGGGGGACAGGAAAAAACCTACTGGGGGACAGGAAAACACCCACTGGGGGACAGAATAAAACCCATCGAGGGACAGAATAAAAAACCCATCGGGGGACAGGATAATTAAAACCACACTATAATAATAACATGTAAAATATTATATGTTATAATTATACTGTGCTTATGGTTTGTAAAGATTGAAATATTTTATTTTTTCTTGATTTGGTTATCTCTTTCAAAGTGCGTTGTTTTGACATGGTATGCTCTTTTGATTTTTTCGTGCTTTGACTGTTTGTATTTTATTTTGTTTGATACTCTTCTGATATGTTTTATTGGTATACTGCTTTGAAATTTGTTAGTGTGTGTTTTTGAGTTTGTGTTATTTGATGGTTTTTATTTTTGCTGTTTTGTTGGTATGCTTGTTTGAATTGTTTAATGTTGTATGCTTTGATTAAATATTTTGTTGTTGGTTGTTCTGGTTTTTGAGTTGCTTGGTGGTTCTTATCTTGTTTTCTGTGAATTGTGTGCATTTTGTTGTATGCTGTTTGATTTTTTGGGTTTGATGTTACAATTGCCCGTTTGCCTATTTTTCCCCTCCCCTCCCTGTTATTATTTCTCTCTTTCAGGCAGTTACTGTGGATTGAAATGATGCAGATTAGTGGCTCATCCCATGTTGCAGGTACTAGGGCGTCCATTTCAACTGTGCGTCAATCCTTGTGAGTCCGAAGTTCAATCACCGAAAAAGAAACACGTTGCCTTACAATATTCGAGCGCCGAAATACACATGATCCCCTTATGCTCATGCGGTAGTTTCATCGTACACATTCTCCGCAAGCCCAATCTCATGCACTTACCCTGCTTGGGGTGATTTTAACGGCTTATCAGAGAGAAGCACCTGTTTTGAGGGCTGCCCTATTGAGACGACGTATCGGAAATGTGGGCCAGGGTTATGATTCCCCTGCTTGATTTAAATCTCCGTCCATAGACATCCCTATACCAAAGGATGCTTAAGCCTTTGGCACGGCAGGTGCGGAATTCAATTGGCCCAATTGTTTCCCTTGAAAATCACTCCACGGGAAAGACGATGGGGTATGGTGTGCTTCTTTTATGGTTGCCGTTTTGTGGGTTAGAAAAGAAGAAGAATGTCTTAAGCCCAGGGTTTGATTTCCCTCGATCTGAATGGCTTGTGTACCTGAGGAAGAATCAACCAATGTAACACCAAAAACAATCTGAGAACCGTGCAACAAGGCAAGCCTACCCATCCTGAGGGTTCTATGGACGCTGGAGGCGCAAGAGTCACGTTGCGCATTGAGATCCGGAACCGGGACACGCCCCAATGGACCCCTGGGATTGGCTGGAGCTTAGGGCCAAGTTGCCGGTGATTCCTTTGATAGATGTCCAATGTTCCCATGTCACTCTAAACTCGCCAACGCCTGGTCCAGGATCCCTGGCGCTGGCCGTTTCAAGGGCTCGGCTTAGGGAACCCTCCGTATCCCAGAGCCATGAACCGGGGATCGCTGTAACCCAGCGATGTAAATTCTTCAAGTGCTCCTTTCCTTGGGTTCCAATACCTGAACTGTGCTGTCTGTCGTTCACAAGGTGCAAGGCAAAGGTCCGGTCAGTTGCGGTGCACAACTTGTTGTAAACCACACTGGGCAACAGATCAGCTTGTGTATCAAGCCAAAGGCTGGAAATCCGTGAATTCCAGCCCAGGGCTGGTTACAGCCCCGCCGTGTACAAGCTCAAGGGCAGTCTTTGCGTGCTGTCAGGCAGGGCAACCGACTCGCCCAAAAGCGAATCGACAAGGTTGACCTGTTGGTTCTTCTTTGCGTGGTTGTAAGGTCCAGTAATGAACCTTTTACACCAGCATGAGAGTAGATGGCACAATTTCCTTTATGTGGATAAGCGAATTAAACTAAATTTGGTTGGACTTGTGCCATCTACTTTCACCCGAATGGATCTGTTCGCCAACTGCGAATTAGGGGTGCCCCGTTTTCCCATGTTTTGAGGTTGGTCTTCTCTTTTTGCTGGCCAGGGTGGCGCAAAGCTTGCCCAAAAGTTGACCAGGCCCCTGTGCAAAATCAAGGAGAAACGCACTTGAGTCGGTGTCGACACTCCCGCTCCTTGCCGACCCCTCGCAGGCTTTCCCCGAATGTTTGGCTGGCCCAAAGCAAACGCTCTGAGGCTTTAGGTCGGCGTTACCTGGTATAACGCGCTGAAACCCGGAAGCAACCGCGAGCACAGGCCAGGTGTCAAGCAGAATCTGACCTCATGTGTTTTCCCAAAGCGCCATGTCGTACTTTTGCGACTGGACTTACTGATGTTTATTTTGAACTCGATATGGGCCAGTCATTTATGAGTACCGTCACGGCCCGGGGCTTCAGCCTTCCTGCAAATGGCTCGGTTCCTTTGTGCAGTCAGCCAGCGAGCAACGGAAACCTGCTGCCAAACGCGAGGCACGGTCAATCAGAACCTGAAAACCAGATGCTTTCACTTTGAATCGTTCAACTTTGTTTTGCAGACATGCATGTCAAAAAGCAGTTGAGCAAGGTCCTCCTCGCCCGTGCTTGTCACTGGACTTGAAATTGTAGCCTTGTTTCATGCTGTCTTGTTGCGTATCTGTATTGATTTGGATCTTGCAAGTTCACGTGCTCAAAATGTAAGCTGTGCCGCTGCTAGGGCGGCTGGCACGTGATCTGCGTTTTGCTAAGGGACTTGGCGTGTTGCACCCTGTTCGGGGCACATGCTGATTTTCCTGCATCGCTAGCCGGGAACGGGTTATGCCATTGGGCAAAACGGATGGGGCGCCTCAGGACTGATCGCGAATGGCGCGTGGACCACCTTTACCACTCTGCCGGAAGAATGCCGCCCCAAGGGAGGGGCACTCATCTTTTCCGCCAGCAACGGGGCCAACGACGTCCGGATCGATGCCGCCTGGCAAGCACTGCATTTCCGAGGGCCAGGTCGGCCCCCCGCTTCTTTATACTTGGGCTTAACGACGGTCTTAAGCAAATCCATATCACCAACCCCGAGAGAAATCCAATGCCTTCCCTCACCTTTCCGCACCGGTGGTTCTTTTCGACCTAAAACCAACCTAAAGTCACCCCAAGCCAGCCCTAAACCAACCCCAAACAAAGCCTATGCAGCCCATACCAACCCTAAACCAGCACTTAAGCTACTTTGGTTTCAGCCTCCCATGCCTTGCACTTGGCGAAGCAAGACGGTGGCGTGAAACCCAAGACCTAAACCGAAAGGCGCGTTCTTTGCCGTACTTACCCTCCCACGAACAAACATGGAGCCTGCGCAAGGGCGCCTTCGGGAACACGGTCTG